CAGAGGTCTCCAGCCATCTGTGTGATGGAATACCATGCAATGAATAAAAACGAGGGCAGAGAGCTACCTTTAGTGACACAAATATGTTTGTAATAGAGAGCAAAGTAAGTAAAAACAGATTACAGATTATACCTGTGTCAACACTAACGGAACTGGCTAATTTCACTGTGTGCAAATTATACCTCAAGAAGAGCAGATTATAAAATGATGTTTACAGAGAGATTCAATTTGTGGATGAGTGTGTACACACATGTGCATCAGAAAGGCTCTATGCCCAACGTTAACAGTGTTATCTCTAGTAATTACAGGTGGCTTTTACTTATTCTGTTTTTGTCTTTTTGCTCATCTTAAATTTTTCTCAGATGAATAGGTACTGCTTAAATGTTTTAAACTATGACTCGGGAAACAAAAGGATATTCACATGAAGGAACAGCTAACTTGGAGTAGTGACTGTGCTTGCTATGTGCTGGGTGTCATGGGAGTTACAGGAGAAGGTTGTGACAGAGCCCACAGTAGGTTCTCAGTAAATGCTTGTCAAGAGAATGAATGACTATAGCAGGTCATTTTATCACAAGTCTAAACTAAATTACTAAAATGATTTAGTAATAACAATGTCACTCTCATTTTAGACACAATACATTAGCAATCCACACTCATAAGTATTTTAATCTCCATTAGAGTGACAGCCAACTAATTGCTTCTAAACTCCACAGTTACCACCTGCTCGAATCTCAGCTCTGTCCTTTTAACTTCCCTCTTATCTTCAACCTTATCTCCTTCTTTATGAATTTAGATTGGGAAATAAATGACCATAAATGCCTTGGTATCACACAACTGTTAGGAAGGCAGCTTGGCGTATAAAGCTAAAAGGCAAAAAACAAGAGAAGTGCCTGTAATTTAGCACAGACCTGGCAGCAGCCTCCTGTGTTCAGAAATAGCAGAAAAAGAGTGACAAGACCAGTCAGTCTCTGTCTTTGAAGAAACTGATTGTTTAGTGTGTAAGAGATGATCAGACCCTCCCCCAAACCCGCCACCTTGATAATCAGCCTGTGTGTGCATATGTGTGTGTGTGTGTGTGGTGTGGGGTATATGCGTGTGTGTGCCTATGATGTGGTGGGAGAAGTGTAATGTAATATGTGCGTGATGTTGTCAGGGAGTGTATGCGGTAGGGGCAAGTGGGGTATGTGGGGGATGTGTGTGTGTGTGTGTGTGTGTGTATAGTGTATATGCTGTGTGTGTGGTGTGTGTGTGTAGTTTTTTTATGTTATGTGGTATTTGTGTGCAGTGTATATGGTATTTGGGGGTGTGTTGGGGGATGGGTGTGTATATGTTATGTGGTATGTGTGTGTAGAGTATATGTTTTGTGGTGGTATATCGTATGTGGGTGGATGTGTGTGTAGTATATATGGTACATGGTATGTGGGTGGATGTGTGTGTGGTGTATGTGGTATGTGTAGGGTATGTGTGTGTAGTGTATACGGTATGTGTGGGGTGTGTATATGTTATGTGGTATGTGTATGTATTGTATATGGTATATGGTATGCGGGTGGATGTGTGTGTAGTGTATATGGTATGTGTGGGGTGTGTGTGTGGAGGGGTGTATATGTTATGTGGTATGTGTGTGTGTAGTATATATAGTTATGTGTGTTAGATGTATAATATATATGGTATGTGTGGGGTGTGTGTATATGTTATGTGTTATGTGTATGTGTAGTGTATATGGTATGTGTGGGGTGGGAGGTATATATATGTTATGTGGTGTGTTGTGTAGTGTATATTTTATGTGGTGTGTGTGTAGTATATATGGTATGTGGGGTGGATGTGTGTGGGGTGTGTGTATATGTTATGTGTTATGTGTATGTGTAGTGTATATGGTATGTGGGGGGTGGGAGGTATATATATGTTATGTGGTGTGTTGTGTAGTGTATATTTTATGTGGTGTGTGTGTAGTATATATGGTATGTGGGGTGGATGTGTGTGTAGTGTATGTGGTATGTGTGAGGTATGTGTGGGGGCTGTATATGTTATGTGGTATGTGTGTGTGTGTGTGGTGTATATGGTATGTGTGGTATATATGTTAGGTGGTGTGTATAGTTATGTGGGTGTGTGTGGGTGTGTGTGTAGTGTATATGTTATGTGGTATGTGTGTAGTGTATATGGTATGTGGGGTGGATGTATATGTAGTGTACCTGGTATGTGTGGGGAGTGTGTGTGTATAGTATATATGGTATATGTGGTGGATGTGTGCATTGTGTATATGGTATGTGTGGTGTATATGTTATGTGGTATGTGTGTGTGTGTGTGTGTGTGTATAGTATATATAGTATGTGTGGTGGATGTGTGTGTAGTGTATATGGTATGAGTGGTATATATGTTATGTGGTATGTGTGTAGTGTATATGTTATGTGGGGTGGATGTGTGTGTAGTGTATATGTTATGTGGTATTTGTGTAGTGTATATGGTATGTGGGGTGGATGTGTGTGTGTCATATATATAGTATGTGTGGTGGATGTGTATGTAGTGTATACGGTATGTGTGGTGTATATGTTATGAGGTATGTGTGTAGTGTATATGGTATGTGGGGTGGATGTGTGTGTAGTGTATGTGGTATGTGTGGGGGGTGTTGCTGTGTAGTATATATAGCATGTGTGGTGGATGTGTGCGTAGTGTATCTGGTATGTGGGGGTTTTGTGTGTGTGGTGTCTGTGGTAAGGGCAGTTGGTGGGAAGGTGGTGAGGGCGTGTGGGGGGCTGTGTGTTAGACACCACATGGATATGACCAAGATTACATTGTTGGATGGATAGAATTTTGGGTCTACCTCAGAAGGCTCAGGAACATTTCTAAATACCAGGGATATTTAATGTAGCAAATCAATCAGTTCTAGTTATATCTAACAACTGCTAAAATCTTACACACAATTTAGATCCAGCAAGGTCTTAGATCATTTACCCTAGCCTACTCATTTTGCAAATGAGAGACCTGCAGCTCAGAAAGTAGAAGAGAGCTGCTCAGCATTAGCGGGAGTGGAGCTGGAGGCACTGCCTGTTGGAATGGTGAATGAGACCTGCTCCGCAGAGACAATTCCATGTGACTCTGGATGAAGTCAGGGACACCTCTGAGTACCCTCCCCTCTGAGGTCTTCAGTAGCAATCACATTATCATTTTGCAATAAAAACCCCTGTGGAGATGTACCCAATTCAGATCTGAAGGCCTGGTCAGGCCCCATTTGCTAAATGAGGGCATTATTTGCAAAGAAAGACCCCTCATTAAAGCATGTTAATGACAAGCCAGAGGATTGGACAACTAAGAATGGCTCCTCCTAACTTTGTGAATAAAGGAAAACCTGATGTATAACAGTGCAACCAGAGAGTGGGTATTAGGCTGGCAAAGTCAAAGTCAGGCCTGTTGTGCTTTAAGCTAGTGATTCCTCACCCTGGCACTCCAGTCACACCCTCCATGTGCAAGCCTCCTTCACGATCCCGCCCCTACAGGGTGACGTCATCTCATAGACACCCATAGTTCCCCACCTTCTCTTCCACACCTCCATGCTTCTGATTGTGCTGTGTCCCCCACCATAAGCTCTGGCTCCCATATGATCCATATGGTGGGCTCCTCCTTGAAAATTCAGCTCAGTCATCACCTTCTTCAGAGAGGACCTGTCCCTCCCCAACATGCAGCAGAGTCACACTTCTGCCAGCCTCTCACAGCCTTCCCTGTGGGTTTGGCAGTGTCATTTTGCATGTCTGGTTCCCTCACTCAGAGGTCCTTGAAGGAAGGACTTGTCCTGTTGTCCAGAACCCAAGCCTTAAGCCTGCAGTAAAGGTAAGCACCCACAGATAAATGAAAAAATGGCTTTCTGAGAAAGTGTTATTACTAAACAACAAATTACCACAAATTTTAGCAACTTGAAACAATACACATGTATTATCTCATTGTTTCTATGGGTCAGAAGTGCTGGCACAGTTTAACTGGGTCCTTTGCTTACGGTCTTGCAGAGTTAATATCCAGATATGTCATCCAGGCCATATTCTCATCTGAAGACTCAGCTGGGGAAGAACTGTTTTCAAACTCACTTGGGTTGTTGGCAGAATTCATTTCCTTATGGTTGTGGGACTGAGGACCCAGCCTCTTGCTAGGTATCAGCTGGAAGCCGTCTTCTGCCCCTTCCCAAGGAGGCTTCCCAGCAAGGCTTCTTACTTCATCAATCCAGCAAGGATAGTCTCCAGAGACTGTAGCAAAGTTTTTGATAATGTTACATAATCACAGAAGTGACATCCTTTTACCCTCATCATCCACTATTGGTTAGATCGAAGTGATCGATCCCACCCTCATCAAGGGAAGGAGATTATACGAGAAATATGAGATGGAAATCATGGGTTCTATCCTAGACCACCATACAAAGAATGGAGTAAATCTTGCTGGTACATTCTTTACTCATTATAATTTCCCATTCACTCCTCCTTTGGGTTCTCTCTCACAGGTGGCTTTGCTCCTGTTAGCAGATCGCTTCTGGAAGAAGGTGCAACTCCAGTGGCCCCATGTCTTGGGAAAGGAGAATCCATTCAACCCCCGGATTGAACAGGTGTTTGGAGACCAAGGGGGTCACTGAGTCTCTCAGAAACATGCACTCTTGGGCTTCTCAGGGAGGCAGGAACTTGGGTAAACTCACTGAGCAGTTATGGGGACTGCCATGTCACACAGGCTAATAGGACCCTGTTTAGCAGCATCACTGCAAAGCTTTTCTTCCTCATTTTAGAGCATATCTGAATGATAGTGTGGTTCTCTGTGTTAATGAGATCAGCTCCCCTCCAACTGTCCTTCAAATAACCTTTAATAAAGTGTTTTGGATGCCATTACAAGCAAGAGACTATCTGCCCCCTTTAATGGCTAATTGTTCTAAAAACAAATAAGAAATCTAGTGATGTTGGGCAGCTTACCCAGGCGCTTGGTGTGCGGGGCACTGGTCCTTCCTCTGCTGCAGACTTCCTCAAGGCGGCTGGCAAGCCGAGGCTCCTAGGAAGGCTGAGGACCAGTGGCCAATGACTCTCACATCAAAATTCAAAACTGTAAAGACAAAGTTAGGTATAAACTTGAATATTTATGTAGAATGATAAAAGAAATAACAACAAATAAAAAAATGACTATTTTTCTTTCTTTAAAAGATTTTCTTACATTCTTTGGGCTGCATATCTGATTGTCTCTTCCTATAACAATAATTGCATGATATCACTGTCTCTAGAAAAAAAAACAGAAAAATAAAGTATGTTGGTTTTTATCAATACTGTAGAAGAGTTTCTTTCAGCGACACAATTCATTATTGGTAAAGTCATGTAAATTTTTAGGATTGTTGTCTAATTGGGAAGACCCCTATCAAATTTCTTTTGTGTGGGAGCTATTACAGACACACTACTTATTTGTGTACTGTTAAAGTGGGGGGCCATATAAACACAAGAATTCTGATAAATTCTGCTGCACACCATTCTCATCAGTGTGTCACCTCCTTTGCCCATCTCTGACTGCAGCCACAGATTTGGGGGTCAGCCTGTGTATGTCCAGCCCCACCCCATGCTACAACATCCCTCCTCAAGCAGGCACTTCTTTCTACATTCTGCTCCCAGGAGCTTGCTTGACACATCCAGGGGCGTGGGGCAGTTCCACCCCATAGAACTGCCTCTTCCACCAGCTTCTTCCTTTTGGGTCAGTTTGGGGAGGCATCAGTAGCTTCTCAGGGGGTCTCAGCAGAGCCAGCCCCACTCTGCTCACAGCAGCGACTACCTTAAATGGCGCTTTCTCCTTCCCTATGCCCATTCCCTCACTCCCTTGTTCCTGCTTTGAGGGATGGCTTCCCAGATAAACCACCGGCACCCAAATTTTTGTCTCCACAAAGAGAAAATGTAAGTGATGGTATACGTATAACTGTATATGCTTTATTACTGGATATATCCGTGATAGGGAGATACTTCTATTGTGACTGAGCACCAATGCAAACCGAATTTTCCACTTACTGTGCCATGTGATGATTGGAAGTAAGAACACATTGCTGGGGCCCTTCCAGGGCTTTGAAGAGGATCCTAAAACTAAATCTTTATTAGACTTATGGCAAATCTGCCTCTGTTCACAAGATTAATTTGCTAGATTGTGTGTGAGCTTCAGCTTGGGAGCCCAAAACACTTGAAATGCTGTCAACCCCATTAATTTCTGTCACCCGGACAGAACCTTTGGTTCAGCATAACCAACACGTGGCCGCAGGAGGTGGATCAACAGGGGACCAACATGCCATCCGGAGGCTGCTTGTTTCAAACAGGGCATAAAAGTAGGAGGAGGAACTGGAGAGAGTGAGGTGTGGAGGCACCGGGCTCCGGAAACCTGGTTCGTCAGTCTCCGCCTGAGAGACGCGTCCACTTGTGGGATCTCTGTACTTGTGTGACTGGTTTTGGTGTTCCAACATCTCATGTGATTTTTAAGCACCAAAATACCAACACTTGTTGTAGTATTGTTTTGTTATTGTTTAATCTGAAATCTTAACCATTCAGTCTCAAGACATACCCAGAGAAGGCAGCAAATTTTGTATTCATTAGACAGAATTCTGTTCAATACGCCCCTGTGTTTAAAATGCTTCCAGTTACTTTATTGCTATTCTAATTTCTATTTCCCAGAACTCTAGTGAAGTTAATAATCTTGTATTGCTTTGGCTGTTGTTGAGGAGACAGAGAATTCATTTTAGGCCCAGGTCTCCAGAAAGCCTGGAGGGACTAGAGTTATTTTAAAAATTGGGGGAAGCCAGAGGGAGTGTATGGGTAGATTTGAAGAATACAGGAGGGGCTGCCAGGCTGCCCACCTCCTTTCTCCTACCCTAGATGTCATCTCTGTCTCCACTATTTTTTCCTGTTTAAATTCTCTCCCCACCATGGGGAATAATTTAACCAGCTCCTTCTTCCCCATCCTTTACCTAACCGGGCTCGGGTAGGGGCACAGAGGCACCAGGGTCTCAGCCTGACCTCATTCCTGGGGCATCATACCAAGAAAGTGAGAGATGGGAGAGGATCTCTGCAGAAAATGCCAGTACCGCATAAAATAAGTTCTCAGTACCATTCTTGTTCCCACAAGAACTGGAGTCAGAGGCCAGGCCCTCTCCCCTGGGTCGGGAGCCCACGGGTAAGGCACATTCATATCTTGTACTTTTTGCACACCACACCAGTCCAGACACATTTCTTCTTTCAGCTCCACCACATCTCTCTCTAGGGGTATTCTGCCCCTATAAGATGCCTCGTGGACTTCATGTAACTTCTGAGAGCCCATAACGTAAAGAATGGCCGTGAGGCACAGCTTCTGCACTGGAGCCCCCTGAGCTACTGTCTTCAGCCGGCAGTGTTTCAGAGTCACAGTGTGTGAATGCTGTCCTCTCAGAGGCGCCAAAGGGCTTTCCCCAGTGCTCACGGCCCTCTCCACCCCCTTCCCCGATTCCCACAGCAGTGGCCTCCAGGTGAGAAGCCCCAGAATCTGAACAGAAGCTCCATGAACTAAGACCCCGGCCAGTCACGTTCACTCTGTCTCCATAACTTTACAACAGCGCTGGGCCTACCAAAGGTGCTCAGTAAGTAGTAGGGGGAACAAGTGAATGAATGAATGGATTGGCCCTTAGTGTGGCACTCCAAGTAACATCTGTTACTTCTTGTTATTTAAAAACCAATACTGCATAAAATAAGTACTAAGTACTATTTTGATGTATTTAAGTTAGCCCCCTTGAATCACACTTCTGCTCCTGCGGTGGGAAGGGTAAGAAAGAAGAGCAATCAACAGACAGGATGCCTCCCTCCCCAGGCATCCTGCTGGGGAGGCTCAGGGCTCCTGGATGATCTTCATCTGAACACCCCAACACTATATCACTGCTTGTTTCTCCTCTTTTCGGATGGTAGACCTGTCTTTCCCTTCATAGTTGAAATGGGGCTCATTTTTCTGTATGAATAATTATGAAGAACTTCTATCCCCCCAACCTCCTGACATCTTTCATTTGTGGTAGAGCCTTTTGGGTTCAGGCCTTGGTGAAAAAAATGTTCAGGCTCCCCCAGCAAAAGCAGATCACCTAGAAAAACCTTTCTATGAAATTTATTGATACAAAACATAGCAGGACCTGAGACCCCAGGAATTGGCACTGGCTTCCCCACCCATCCTCTCACCAAGTTGATCCCACAAGAGAAAGGATTCCTACCTAGGTCCACAAGGACACCTCACCCCCAGAAGTCTCATGCTTATCAATTTGAATGGTAAAAAATTGTCTTCACTACCCTCTAAAAGTTAACATTTCCTTTTATGATGAAGGTAGACAACAAAACACAGCTGTATCTTTAGCTGTCTTTGTCATGAATATTTTCATATCAATTACATTTGTTCCAGATATAGCCAATTCTCATTATTCATGGCAGTTAGGTTTTATAAAGTCACCTTAAACACTGAGTTAGCAAATACCGGACCATTGCTTCTAGGGGAAATACAGTGTTAGGTTCCTGCAAACCTCTGGTTACATTATCATCAACCAATCAATACATAACCTTGTTCAATGTGTGCTTTTTATTTAAAGTCACCTTATTTAATTTACAGTTGATGGATTAACACTGACCTCATAGCCAATAGCACATTAACTCACATCTAAATGAAGCTCAGCTACACATCTATTTTCTCCATAAGACACATCACAGCCTTCTTGCACTCAGCACCAGGCAGCACTTCAGCACTGTACTTGGCGGCCATTCTAAGCAGCAAAATCACCAACAAAAAAGCATAAACATGCCAAAAATGTGGCAATGAATACACTGTGAGAAGGACAGTTGTTTATGGTGAAAAGGCTGGGACAGGAAGGCAGAGCATTCATTGCCTTATGCAAACTCAGGTGGGAACATGCAGGTCAAGGCAACGGTATTTTTTACTGCTCAAATGATCACAAAGGTGCTGTGAGTATTGATTTGGAGGTTACAGATAAATTATAGAAAGTAGACAAATTCAAAGATAGAGAATTCATGGATAATGAACATTGACCATATCTTGAAATATTATTTATGGCCACCAATACTTTGAAACAACTGTAGTTATTAAACCCAGTAAAAAAGCAGCATATGTATGCATGTATGCCCACTTTTAACTACTTCAAAATATTTTTAGTAGTATAACATTTGGTTTCAGCATAAGTGGTCTCTTTTGCAATCCTATGTGTTTTATTTTTGCATTGAAAAATGTTACCCTGAGAAGGGGATCCCAGGCTTGCCCAGCCTTCCATGCTCTCGGGTAGGGTGTTTTGAGAAGGAAGAACTCCACAGTCCAAAACTCCTGGAAGCTCAGCATAATTTCTCTGCTGGATGCTCTGCAATAAAAAAGTCTGTTCAGCTCAACATTGTTAACCTAGAGACTATTCCTCGAATGACAGCTATTAACACCCAGTAGGCATCATGCTCTGTAGAACCACCTTGAGAGATGCTGTTTAGAGGAATGAGCCTCCATCTAACACATTCACTGGCAGTGTCAAGAGAGGAATTTCCCAGATATATTAAAACTCCGATCCCTAGTCCTGATCTTCAGTCTGAGGCAGGATGTCTCTGGAATCCCACTCACTGCCGCCACAGCATTCCTGGTAGAACTCAAATGGCAAATTGAGCACTTTGCCTGGGCTCCAAGACACACAGCAGAGTCCCTGTGCCGCCTGGATTCCTGATGAATGGAGGCATCAACACAGTACCAACACGTCAGCTTCTCATTGCAGCTGAGGGTAGAATCTGTGTTTGCCTGGCAGGATGAACTCCTCTCATCTAGCAGAGGTGCTCGCATAAATACTCACACACGCTAAGGCTCTTTTAATCTGGCCCTTTGCTTGAGCTAAAGGGGGGTGGGGATGCTTTTAAAACCTGTTTCTGGGTCACTTCTTAAAATTGTAGTGAAAAAATAATGGCCTCATCATCATGAATCTGTCTTTAAGGAGGATTACACTTCTGAAGCTCTGGGATGGGTAGAGATGCAGAGGAGAAATAAAGAGCACACAGTGAGGTTTGCTAAAGAGTTCTTTGGGCATTGTGCTCCTGGCTGGGAGCTTTGTTTATAATTAATTACATGGAGCATTCACAGGAACCCTTTCAGCCACAGAGGGCTGCAAATGTAAATGCTGGGTTCACAATGACACGCTCAGTAAACTGCAGAAGAAGGATGGGCAGGAGGGCGCACCAAGGACTTCAGTAGCAGCCCAGGCTCAAGGCAGTTACAGATCCCCAAGATATTCAGTCTCCCCTGAGGACTCTGCCCTCTGAGGTACACACATTGCACAGGCTCAAAAAGTCCCCTGGGTGCTAATGTTTTTATAGTGATCTCCATGTTGTAGTTCCACAAATACCTGCCAGAGCCTGAGTGAGGCTGCTAGGGGCACAGAGGGCTTTTGAGGGATAATGAGTGTCAACTTGAGGCTCACATAACTCTTGCGGAAGGAACAAAACTCTGTACTGCTGCTTCAGGAGCTATGGGACACATCAAAACACAATGTGTGGACATTTCATAGAGCAACAGACTTTAGAGGCACTTGTCCAGGTTTGAACCTTGTTTAAGCTCTTGGTGCCCCAGCTTCTTTCCCTTTCCTGGGGAGCAATTATACCTGTTTCCCAGAACTTTAATGAGCATTAACAGTAAGAGCTGATGCTTACAGAGGGCTAAGGACATAAATTAACTCACTTAACCCTTACAATAACTACATTAACACAGGTCTGCCACAATTATCTGCTTGTACAGATAGGAAAACAGAAGCAGAGAGCAATTAAGTAATTCGCTTGAGATTGCACAGCTAATAAGTGATGAATCAGGAATTGTGAGCCAGGCCATGTGACTCTAGGCTCCCTGCTGCAAGCCAGCAGACAACCCCGCCTTTATTAAGTAGGATAATGCTTGTGCAATATGGTGGCACTTGCTCTCATCATCTCAGTAACCAGGGAGTGGTTTGGCCACCACACAGGCTGGAGTCTGCTTTGTCTATAGAGTAAAAGGAGAACTCATCTGCAGACGGCCTGTGCCTCTGCCAGCTCACTCCTCTCTGCCCAGGTCTTCTTTTTCCTGCATCCCAGCCCCAGGAAACCTGTCACTACACTCATGGGCAGTTGGGGGTAAGTCTCCAGAGAGGACTGCCCAACATGGCTGCCTCCCTGCTTGTGCACGCTGCTCCTTCCACGGAGAGAGCACCTATCCCACCCCTTGAAGCTGGCCTGGCCCAGAGAAGGCAGTGCAAGTGAGACTGTCATTCCCAGGCCTCATGTGAGGGGACAGAACTGCTGCTTCCACCCTCTTAGTCTCGCAGCCACCTAGGAGGGAAGCTGAAGCTTTGCGGCCACGAGAGAGGCCCTGGGATGAGACACCGTGTGGAAGAGAGAGGCCATATGGAGAAGAATCCACGAAGACCTCAGAAGCATGAAAGAGGCTTTCCTCAGGCTTTCCAGCCCAGCCTGCACCAGCCAGATGCACGCCGACGGGCAAGTGAAGCCAAGGCCCATGGAGCCCCACCAGACCACAGCATCAGGGAACATCACACCCTCCTCTTGTCTCAGGCCTCTAAGGTTTTGAAGGAGTTTTAGGCAGCAGCAGTGACCCAACACGCTGTTGGCCAAGACCTCTCACAGCTGCATGCCCTCCCACATGCTGTCTCCTCAGTCCCATGCAACACCCCGACTGCTTCTTCAAGACCCAGCTCACCCACTGCTGTCATGGACCAGAAGGTACACACTTGTAATCTCCTGGAGAGAATAAGTAGCTCTAGCATGGGGTTCCAGGGCTTATGAGTGAAACCACAAATAACAACGCTTAAGAAGTAAGAAGGCTATTTCTCTCACATAAATGATATCCGGTGTTAGGTGGTGCAGGTCTAAAACAGGACCCCATGTTGCCAGGGACCCAGGCTTCCCCTCTCTTGTGGCCGCCACCTTCAGCATGCAGTTTCCACGGTGTAGTTCAAAACAGCTTGCCGAGCAACCGCTGCCACAACTGCAGACAACCCAGCAGGAAGGAGAGGGCAGAGTAAGAGCCATGCCCCTCCCTTGACAACAACTTCTACTCGCATCTGGGTAGGCCAAGTTAATCACATGGCCACTCAGCCTGAAAGGAGCTAAACATGTTTGTCTAGCTAAGTGTGCAGCTGAAAATAGGGAATTCTATTACCTGGAGAGAAGAGAGGATGGCTATTAAAGGACAATTAACAGTCTCTACCAGTGTAAATTAGAACACCTGGAAAGCAGTTTGGTAATATGTGTCACCCACATGTCAGCTACCTCCACCCCTTGCTACTCAAAGTGTGGTCCTCAGACCAGCATCATCTGGAAACTTGTTAAAAATGCAAAATCTTGGGCCACCTACTACTGATTCCTGCTATAACAATATCCCCAGGTGATTTATTTGCACACTGCAGTTTGAGACACACTGATCTAGACCACTGGTTTTCAACCCTGGTTGCACATTGAAATCAGCTGGGAAACTTTCTAAAGTTTCCTCATGCCAGAGTCCCACCCACAGAGCATCTAATTTACATTGGTCTGGGTGAAATCCAGGCATTTGTGATTCTAAAAACCTCCCCCTGGTGATTGTGATATGCAACCAAGGGGCCAAACCACTGCTCTAGTCCATTTGGGGGAGAGTTTGCAGTAACTCCTGAGTCACATCCAGGCTGCAGCCTCTTAACTGCCTCTCTGGAAATCCATTCTGTGCTTCTGCTCTCTTAACCAGACCTCACCCCACTCCCTCTCTTCATTTTAGCTGTGTCTGTGCATACTTCATAATGGTTTGGGAGTAAAGCAGAGGGTTACGCTGCAGCACAGTACAAGGGATCACATCAAACTGTACGTCACACATCCCTGCCTTCCAACAGCCCACACAGAAATCTTCCACTGGGGGCCCTCATCCACAGGCTGGCTGCCCTACCATACTGCTCAGTTCTACAGTCCCTTAAATCCTCCCTGAGCCCCGATCTGAGGTACTCCTGGAAACATACACATCCTTATTTCATTGTGCATGGCAAACTATTTCTCCTCTCCTTACCTCACTCCTTGAGGTCTATCTTTCCACATTAAATCATTCATTAGGGAGTTTGCCAAAAAATCTGCCCTGGAGGAAAAGCATGCTACTATCTTGGGAGACAAAAGCAGCTATGGAAAATGGTGTTTTAAATAATAAAATAGCTCCTTTCTAGCTTCATGCATTTCAAAATTTTTTAGGATCCATATCTGACTCAGAATCCAGAAACTATTTAAATATGAATAAATTTCCTCTTCAAAGTAAAAATTTTTATAAGGCAAAATTATACCATAAGCAGAGTCAAAAGACAAATCGAAAAATGAAGGGAGGAAATGAACCCATTTCAAAGACAAAGAGCTAATCTCCCCAATACAAAGAGTTCTTGAAAACAAAAACAAAAACAAAAAAGAAGAAGAAAAAGGTAAAGACCAACAATTCAATGTTTAAATTGGCAAGGGATATGAATGGGCAAAGTTCACATAGGAAAATATGAAAATATACTCAAGTTCAATCATAATCAGATAATTGCAAAATAAATCTACACTGAGAGGCTTCTGGTTTCTGGTCTGGCAGACTCCAGCCTGTGTGGTGGCCAAACCACTCCCTGGTTATTGAGATGATGAGAGCAAGCGCCACCATATTGCACCAAACTGGAGTCTGGTAGTTGTCACTCCATCCTAACAAGTAAAAAGCTGAGCAAATCAAACCAACGACTCCTCTTAGATCCTTCAGAAAATTGAGGTCACAGAACACACCACTGTCCCCAAAGCTGGAGAGACAAGTAGGCAGGTAGAGAGAACAGCAACTTACCAGAGCAGAAACCTTTGTGAGAACGAGTTCTAAGTACATCATGTCTGGATTTCAACAAAAAATTTGAAGAGGTACTAAAAGGCAAAAAAACAGTTTGAAGAGACAGAGCAAGTATCAGACTAACCTCAGATATGGCAGGATGTTGGAATTATTAAACTGGAAGTTTAAAATAACTATTCTTTTTAAATGAAGGCTCAAGAAAAAAGAAAAAAAAATGGAACAGAATATCCAATAACTGTAAGACAACTACAAAAGGTATAACACACACATAATGGATATATCATAAGGAGAAAAAAGAGAAAAAAATAAAAGAAATATTTGAAACAATAGTGAGTAAGAATTCCCCCAAACTAACGTCATACACCAAACCACAGATCCAGGAGGCTCAGAGAACAACAAACAAGAGAAACGCCAGGAAAAAAAAAAACCTTTATCTAGGCATATTGTTTTCAAGTTGTAGAAAATAAAAGATAAAGTCCTAAAAGAAGCCTGAACAAAACAGAAGCAAATGATGCTGGGACAACTGGTCATTCACATGCAAAAAAAATGAACCTGGATACAGACCTTACATTCTTCACAAACATTAACACAAACTGGATCATAGATCTAATTGCAAAACACAAAATCATAAAACATAAAGTAAGAGAAAATCTGAAGGACCTTAGGCTTGACAAAGACTTTGTAGATACAACACCAAAAGAACAATCCATGAAAGAAACCACTGATGAACTGGACTGCATTAATTTAAGATGTCTGATCTGTGAGGGAACTCTCCAGAGTGACAGTACAATTGACAGACTGGAAGAAACTATTTGCAAAAGATATATCTGATACAGGACTGTTATACAAAATCTACAAAGCACTCTTAAAACTTGACAATAGGAAAAAGAACAACCCAATTCAAAAACAGGCAAAAGATCTGAACAGACACCTCACCAGAGAAGATATACACATAGCATGAAAAGATTCCCTACCTCCAAATCATACCATATACAAAAATTAATTTGAGATGGATCATAGACTTAAACGTAAAGGCTAAAACTCTGAAGTTTACAGGAGAAAACATTTAGAAAGTTTTCAAAGTCTAGGGAAAGGTAAGAGTTTCCTAGACAACATACAGAAACAATTACCAACATTTTAAAAACTGACAAATTAGACTTTAGACAATATTAATATTATTTCTTTTAGATTGACAGAAGTTGAAGTTATACTCACTCAAAAGCACCAGAGACTGGAAGAAAATATTCACAAAAGGCATATCTGAAAAATGATTCCAGAATATTTAAAGAACTCTTACAACTCAATAATAAAAAGACAAACAACCCTTTTTTTTTCAGTGAGTAAAACAGTAGAAAGAATGATCCACCAAAGGAAGACAAATGAATAGCCAATAAGCACATAAAAAAGTGCTCAACATCTGTAGTCATCAGGGCAATGCAAATCAAAACCAAATGAAATATCACTTCATACCCACCAGGATGGCTAAAAATGAAAAGACTGACAGTAGCAAATGTTGACAGGGATGTGGAGCAACTGAAACTCTTATATAAGCACTTTTGAAAAAAATTTCTTATAAACTAATTATAACTCTACCCTCTGACTCAGAATTCACTCCTAATTACTTACCAGCATATGTCCACAAAAAGGCTTGTTCAAGAATGTCCATAGCATCTTTATTTATAATAGCTAAAATCTGGAAACTGTCCAGATGTCCATCAATAGTAGAGTGGATAAACATACGAGATACTTCTCATCAATACAAAAAACTACTGACACACACAACAAGAATGAGTTGTTATCCTTCATAATATTCAAAATATATATGTTGACTAAAAGAAAAGCATATACTGTAAAATTCATATGTAGGTACATACATATGAATTCTAGAATAGGCAAAACTAATCTATAATGAAAAAAATCAGAAAAGTGTTTGCTTGGAGTGGGCAGAACTGGGAAGGAACATGAAACATCACTTTCTGAAGTAACGGTTCCATTTTGAAGAAAATTTTCATACACAGATGCATGTACTTATCAAAACTCATGAAATGGAACACTTAAATCTGTGCACTTCATATATGAACAGATGAAAAGCAAGGTGTGTGAATGCATGAATGCCTACATCAGCTATTTACCCTTATAAAAACAATCAAGAGGGATTTTTTAAAATAGCTTAAGTATGGCATATAGATATATATACACTTACAGATGAATCATTTCACTAACATATCTTGAAGGTCTTTAAAAGTTCACTGGGAGAATCCATTAAAATGTTACACAGTTATAAAAAGAGTTTTGTGTCCATGCAATTGCTAAGCCTTTGTTTTCATTATAAGAAACAAACATCAGGGGGAAAAGACTGTGAGCTTTAGAGTATAAATAGGGTTATAATTTGGAAGGGGGAAAGACATAAAGGAAACGAGAGAAAGGATAACGAGGATGCATAAAAGGAACACGGCTCATGTATCACCTTGAAAGCACAATTTTAAAATATAATTATCTTAATTCATTCCCTTCCTGAGAAGGTGTACAAAATAAAGCCAATGAATGAACAGTTCCTCCCTGGCCTGCTGACAGCTTTATTAAGCCAGTGACTTCTAATGCCCATTCAAAGCAGAATCCCTTTATGGAAGGCCAGGCTGATGCAACATTTGCAAAAGGAGGTGAGAGACATTAATTAGATGTTGGAGTATATTGCACACAATGTCAAGGCTGATTAGTTGTGTGGACCAAGTGCTGCACACGGGGAATCTCTCACCACTGGATGACCTGACATTTGGATTGTCACCTGCTTTTCAGCACTGAAGCACTGCTCCCTTCCCAGGCAGCAAAGCTTCTCTGTGATGGCGCCAGAGAGGGGCTTTACCTCCACGCATCATGGTGGAATAGTTCACAGCCATCATATTCTTTCTTACAGACCCCAAGGAAAATAAGGAATAGTGCAGAATATAGGTAAAAAAGCAAAAGTTGGCAAGAAAGAGTATTTTTATTATTTTAGAATATTAGTATCTTTAGTAAACGTGGGAAGCAAGATAACATTTTGCCTTTTAGAGTCAAACTTGATTTGAATGTTGGCTCTTCTGTGCAACCTTGGGAAAGCTACGTACCACTCTGTCCCTCAGGTATGCCATATT